AACATCAGGCATATTTGATTTTTTATTTCCCTGAACTATTGCTTTGTCAATTTTATACTTTTTTATCTCATGCTCTTAAGTAAAACACAAGGTTAAAGGTTTGCACTAAAATGTACAATTTCTTGCTTTTAAAAACTTTTTTTAAAATTATGGAATAAAAAGACAAAATTGTGAGTATTTAGCAGTGATATTTCATTCCATAAATACATGTACACTTTAAATAGGATGCTGAAAGGTAGGAAAGTGAGGTGGAGAGTAAACATGACACATTATGTATAATTTACAGTTGTAGAGGGCTAAGTGAACTGATCCACAACCTCATTTTTCTAAAAGGGGCAAATCTACTGACTTAATGAAGTGGAAAGTTCAATGCCTTTTATTACAGGTCTCACAGTTTTAAAGAGCCACCTGGAAGCTATTTAACATAATGATGCTCAATGTGCTGGTATAAACACATTTGCTCACTCCAGATTATAATTTGCATCAAGCTCACTGTCTCAGCACCACTGCAACAGATCTAGTGCTCATCTTGTGGATAAAAGATGGGACAAGCCTCACTAACGATATATAGGCATAAACAATATGTGCTGCTTTATAGATGAGAAAGACTTTCTTACAGAGAGGTATGCAGACTGTGTTACGTGTTCTATGACAGAGAGCTCTATCTACTCTGGTATCAACTAAGCCTCCACAATTTCCTTCCTTAGCAATTTGCAAAATAAAACAAAGTTAATTGGTCCAAAAAGCATAGACCCTATCATCTGGATCTCAGTTTTTAGAGCGTTGTTTGAACCAGCTGGGCTCCCTGGTGGCCTCGGCTTAGCAGCAGACAATGGCTTTGCCTTTCTTTCTTGGATTTTTGAGGACTGAGAACCAATGTAAAAAAATAATATGTATTTTCACATTTCATTTCATTCTTCAATTTGTAAAAGATAAATGTCTTTGGGAAGCTGACAGTAAAGTTATGAATATAATATTTAATTATATATTAATGAATATATTAATTAAGGGCTCAGCTCTGTCATTACTAGCTGAGTATCTCTCTTACAAGATGCTCAACCTCTTTGTACCTCAGTTTTCTTACTTATAAAATGGATAGTCTGGTGATATTTATTAAAAGAAGTTTTTAAAAGGTACATTTGCTTAGAATGATGAATGATGCATTCGAGCAGTAAGTGCTATAAAAGGCCTGCTGTTTGCTGTCGGTATTGTCATACTATTACTATACTCATTGGAACAATAACAAAGTGCTTCAGCTATATGTGTGAAGAGTTTGTCCTGGCTTATGTGCCAGTCAAATGTCAAAATCTTCTAATTTTCAATTCTAACATTAATAACCTTCTAAAAATAATTCCAAAATGTTTCTGCTCTGTGTATATTAGCATGACAATACCACATTTAGTTAGAGGTGATATGGGTTCTTTTTCTTTTTTAGAGATTATTTAAAGAATTATTTTATTTAACTTTATTTGAAAAAGAGAGAGAAAGTGAGAAAGCAAGCCCCAGGTCCAGGACTTGAACCATGGCTGGATATGTGGGAGTCCAGAGCCCTTAACCACCACGCCACCTGCCGGCCCCTAAAGATTTTTGCTATAGGGCACATGCACTCACTGGAGAGACAGAGAGAAACAGAAAGAAAGAAAGTGAGAAATCACTCCCCGCCCCCAGGGAGGTTGGCCATACAACAATCTCTTTTCTTCCATTCTCCTCTCAGGATTTTGGGTACGTATGCACACATGATTGGTACTGGTGTGAGTTTTAAGCCACCGGGTTCAGGACTTGAACTGAAGTTAAATATGTAGGAGTCCAGCGACATAACCATTATGTCACCTGCTGGTCCCTAATATGGGTTTCTTTTTACAGTGACTTGGAGTACTTCTAAAATATTTTAAAAGATCTAGTAAAATAATAGGCTTCTTCTAAATGACAATAATTGTTTAGATAACAGTGTCTCCATTTCTTCAAATATAAATTTGAAGTTCACTGTAGTAATCATATAAATTTATGATTAGTATACATGTATTTTTCTCAAATCTTTGGGTTCTACCCTTAATCTGACTCTTAATTTCTAATTATATTTTAGTGCACAACATACATAAGTATGTTCCTTCACAGAGTTTGTAGACAAGGGGTACCAGTCAATCCAGTGGGAATAGGAAAACCTCTTCAGCAAATGGTGTGGGAAAAACTGGATTTCCACCTGCAGAAACATGAATCTGAAGCCCTACCTCTCACCTCTGACAAAAATCAAGTCAAGGTGGATCAAAGATCTAAATCTAAGACCTCAAACAATAAAACTGCTCCTAGAAAACACGGGAAATTCTGGGAGACATTGGAGTAGGGGAAGACTTCTTAAATAAGACCCCCACAGCACAGTCGATAATCCCCAAAATAGATGAGTGGGATTACATCAGACTAAGAAGTTTCTGCATGGCAAAAGACACAGTAATTAGTGTGAATCGACAGCCCTCAGAATGGGAAAATATTTTTGT